GGTAACACTGGGCAGAGGTGGCAGCCTTTTGAGAGGACAAGTACTCAAACCTCTATTCGGTCTACTGCTCTAAAGGACCAGCTGTCGAGTCAATGAAAAGTTTGCAAGGATTGTCTGTGAGCTAAACGTGAAGGAATTTTTTTTTTTTTTACCACAAATAGCAGGACTTCTTTTCAGTTATTTAGAGTTCATTTTAAATATTTTTGCTCCATATTGAAAACAATTCGGCCCATTTATTTTGTTATATTGTATGAGTAACAAAAGTATACTATGGTATCACCCTTTTCACCCCACACCACCCATCCCAACTCTCCCCTCCAATCTGCTCTCGCCATCTGACCCCCAAGATGGGTAGGGTGGTGGACAGTTAGCCTTGTGTGGTGTTGGGCGTGTGTGTCTGTGTACGTTTGCAGGCCAAAGCCAGCAGAGTATCGGTTAGTGCGAGGGCCAAGCAAAGAAGCGGTTGGACAGTTTAGCCAGCTGCTCAGGGTTGGGACTCTCGGCTGGCCTGGTCAGTGAAACCTTGCCAGATGGAGCCACTTCAAAACAATGAGAGTTGCTCAGTAAGGTTGAAAACTAGATGCTGATTACTCAGGCAACAAAGAAGGGTGGATGTTTCAAATACATTAAAAGAAGTAGTTTAGTCATCCATTTAGCCGAAATATTGAGATCAACTTGGTATTTGACATTACTAGCATTACTAATTAATGTGCAGCTACTAATAGGAATTTTTTGTCGTTTGTATTAAAACTTGACAAAAAAGAGCTAACATATTTGATCATAAGTATTACATTTACTTTTAGCATTTTTTACTTTACCTTTTTGACATATTTGTGCTCCAGGTTTTTTTTCCCCAAAACGGCAACAGGCTGAGGTGTCTGGGGACTGAACTCTGCATAAGAGTGACCAAGCCTGTGTAATGAGGCGTGTGATTAGTCCCCTCCCTCCTGGACAAGGCCACTCTTTGGCGGACATGATTGATTATGACAGAGGCACAATGGCTGCCTGGTGTCAGAAGGGTGGCATGGGTGCACTCAGACCCCCAGTAGCAACACCCAGGCCCCCTCCCCCCATCTCGGCTGGGTTTGAGCGGTTAGAAACACGCAACAGCATGTATGCACATAGAGTACATCTGCACACTTAAGTTTGTACACATAGTAAGGCCTTTTGTTTTAATGAGCATTGAAATATAAAAATAGTGCATCGCAAATTACACAACAGCAAAAAAGTTTGAAGAAAATAAAGACTAAAACTTCACAAAAATTCTCAACTTTAAGGTTTTAAGGCTCAGTGTCATAATGTGTGATTATTATAAAATGGTTTTGTTTTTACACCTGCATTTGAACAGTTTTCCTGTTTGAAGAAAAGTACTGAGGATAATCACATTCCCAGAGAGACATTTACTGTAGGTTTCTTTTATATATCTTTTAAATGTAAAAAAAAAAATAATATAGTATATGTCAAATCAGTTTAGCCAAACTTATTTAAATGATATTACAAAGCATAATGAAGAAACAATACTTTTAGACAATATTAATACAAAGTATTTGGTACACCTGTATGAACAAAAAATACCAAGGTATTTATTAAACCTAAATTAATTTAGACATTAGCTATAAATATATATACACCTCCATATCTGATATTTGCTTTTACTTCAAAAACCAACTTGATTTTATCAAATATTTGCATTCCGCAAACTAATACATTTTTATCTTGGCAAGAGACTCTTCCTATAATAGGAACAAGTAGTTCCATCTAAAACACGCTGCTTGTTCGTTTGAAGTGATCCTTGTCCACACAAACCTTTAGAGACCACAGATCCAGCTCATCAGGGTCAAAAATCAAGTTCTCAGAGGTGCAAAAGGAAGAGTCCTCATGGAGGACCATTAATTGTCCTATGACAGCTGCGCTCTCAAGTGGGGCGCAGGTGGATTAACAGTTTACCAATCTTTTTGATGATGCTTCAAAGATTCTGCAGAGTGAGAAAAAGAAAGGATCTGAGCTTTGGTGTTGTTCTTAAAGGACTGGTTCATCATCGTCAGATAACAGCTATAAAGCTAGCGGCGTCGTACAAAAAATGATGTGCAAGAAAAGATTGTTACAATGTAAAAGTAACAATATTTCAGACTTGGTATCAATTTTAATGAATTTCCGACAGTTAAAATGTTTTCAGTGTAAATACTAAAGTTTCAGTGTATTTACACAAGTGAAACAAAAACCAAATGACCCAGATGCTTGTATTTAGATTTAACGCAACAAGTATTCCAACTAGATAAAAAATAATTAGATTTCAAATGTTAAAGCAGCGCTGTTACATGTTTATATTGTCTTGTTTTGTAGTGAATGGTACAAAACAACACCTGGTATGAAACCATACCACACTAAATAATAATGATCAACTAATTAAAACATTGATGTTATACCTTTTCCCCTTTTATATTTAACACAAATACATGCTAAGATTAGGACAAATGTATTTTTGGAAAATTATTACTTTCAAAGGAGTGTTTTTTTTTTGTTAATTTTGTTTTGCTTTTTGTTTTCATTAAGTAAGGTTCACCTCAGATCAAATTCCCAATATATGGCCAAGACTACACAGGATGTACGGGTATTAATTCTATATTGAGATCAGATTATTTTGCTATTTAAAAACACTTCCATTTGATGAGTGTGGGGGAGCAAAGCAGGGGCTTACCCAAGATGCCACTATTTTAAAAATAGCTAACTGGTGACAAAGAGTTTGGTTTCCTCTTTTTTTGTGCAGGAGTTTTGCCCTAATTGCTTTGAGTGGACCAATGAACAGCATAGTACTTCTATAATTGGCTTACACCAGTGGTGGGCTGGGGTGCTGGGCAAGTCAAATTAAATCAAAGCTGTACATCACAAGCAGTGTTTCCATCCTAATTGGCAAATGAGTGAAACATGGCACACAGCCAAATAAGCGGCTCAGGGCAAGTGTGTGTTTGTTTACTATTGCCAGGGCCGAGCCTAGCTTGAATGGAACCCAAAGGACACTTTTATTTGGGGGAAAACATGTATACATAATGCATCCAAAGCACCACCCTAAATATTGATAGGATTAGACTTTAAGTAACTCAGCAAGGTATTCACTGAATGGTGTCTGACTATCTCTGTCATGAACCGAGGACAGATGGACCCAGTATTCAGGAGAGACAGTCAGTAGGAAAGTTCAAAAGGTTTATTAAAATAAAAACAAAACAAAAGTGGAGCTGTGGCTCGCGGACACTGCAGGCAGGGGGGGCGGGGCACCGCCCAATCTCAGACACTCTAGGGAGGAAACACAGGTAAGTGACCACAATCAACCAATAGAAGATTAACTGTGTTGGTCACTTACCTGGTTTAACAGTCCAGACCACAAGTGTCCCAGTGCTGCAGTCCCAGAGGTGATGGTGGAAGCTGATCCTGGTCAGGGATCCAGAACAGACAGGAACAGACAGAAACAGGCAGGATCCAGATCAGGCAGGAACAGAGACAGGTGGCAGGATCCAGACTTCCAGGCATCCACAGGCTTCCAGGAGGGTTCAGAGTCTTACTGGGACCAGAAGCATGACCAATTGGTCACGCACAGGAGCAGACAGGATCAGGTGCAGACAGGCAGGCACAGTGGAAGAGGGTAGCCAAGACAGGACGTGGAACCTGAACTTGAAGCAGACTTTAAACTGGTCTCCACCCAGGAGCCAGGCTTACTTAGATAAAAACTGAACCTCCCCCCATAATGAGCCAAAAACCCAGAGGACTCCGCAGGGGAGGAACAGTGGACGATCAGGAGACGAGACAAACACTAAAACCCTCTTTCCACTGGCAGCTAGGATCCAGGACATGAACCAAATAAAAACTGAACAGAAAGACTGACAGAAAGACAAGCAATGATCTGGCCCTGAATGCTCAGGCTGAACTGAATATAAACCAGAGGAAACAGGTGAGAGGAATTAATTATAATGAGGCAGGGAGGGAAGAGGGCAGGTGAAAGGAATTACTAATTAAGGGAGAGCAAACAGGCCAGATCATGACAATCTCAAATGACGATTAGTATATTTTATAAGATAAAAAGCACAGGAAACCTGGAAACAAACCGTAAAGATTAGGTTGTTTGTGTGACTCACTCATTGCTCCTGCAGCTAGTTACAATGTTCAATATTTTGATTCAATAATTCAGGGAAAAAGTATACAAATTTAGTTATATGCACTTTCGGCCAATGAAAGGAAGTTTGAACTAGAGTGGTAACAATAAACTAATAAGCAAAAAGCCTATAAAACTTTAGATATTCTCTCTTTGTTTACTTATGAAATGTGTTCAAATGTATGTGTATTTCAATTGTATATCTTTAGATTTAATATAATAATTATATGTATACTTTGCATAAAATCTAAGATTTTTTTTTACTTGCTCATTCTTGACAAACTTAACTGGGCATAGGTCAATTCACCTCCTTATGAATTTGTTTCACACCTGACCTTTTGGGGCCCTTGGATGCATTTTCTTGGACAGACATCAGTTTATATCTGCCAAGGAAAAGTTTTGGATCTACTCTGCAATTGATTTCTACTCGTAGTCTACTGCATTAAAATATGAACAAAAACAGAATGGTCATAACTGTTTTACTGAAGGGTTAAAATGCTTTATATTCCATTAGAGTTAACTGGCAGTAATGGGTGTAAATAACCAAACAGTTTCATATAAATAGATCTATATTAATTTCTTTCCTTACCATTAGTCCTATGATTAAAGCGATAATTTTTCAGGCAAAGAAAAGACAACGTTACAATTTAGACAAATAACAACAGTGTGATGTGTCGATGTACACATTGTGTGTGTTGAAAGACCGACACTTGTATGAAAACAAAGATGGGAAGAGGGAAAGACAGAGAGAGAGAGAGAGAGAGAGAGAGAGAGAGAGAGAGAGAGAGAGAGAAAGAGAGAGAGGGGGAGGGGGGGGGGTGCAGACAACTCCGTTTTTGAGCGAGCTTTAAAGATAGCCGCGAGGATAATGGAGCAGCACCCACACCAGAAGCCAGTTTGGAGGAACTCCCCCTTCAGCACCTTGGACAGAGGCAGAGCTGCTCCCCGAGGCTTTTTATTGGAAGTGGAAAAGCGCAGGCTCGCAGTCCGGTCAGCTGACGCCGCTCACGCTCAGACACTTTTCGCTGCCAACCCAGCCATCATCCGGGTTTTAGCAACAGAGCCCAACGGGTTACTTCATGAATATTGAAAAATCTCGCTCTGATCGGCCGACGAAAGGGAAAGCAAAACCAGATAATTTTCCTCTTCTTGTTCCTTTTTTTGACTATATTTTTTCCTCCTACAAGCGAAAAGACTTTTGCTCAATATCAAGAGGATACGCCTCTAAGAGCTGTAATTGCTCACCTCCGCAGATTTTCTAAAGTTTTAATTAGTTTATTGTTGATTTTATGTTTTTATACATTTAAAATCAAAGATCTTGGTATTTTATTCAAAAATGCTACTTGAACACCCAGGGTCAAGCTTTCAAAATACTGGAAATTTCCCCCGATACAGTTCGGGCCAAGGTAAGACACATATCTTTATTATTACTAAGTAATACAAGCATTAACAAGAAAAAACGAGGGTTATGCAAGAAGCTCGCGTATTTATTTTGGGGCCTTTTTGAGTCCTCAAGAAAACACCGAATCACATCAGGGCTTTAAACTTTGACAAGCGCCTTAATTCATAAATTAAGACATCAAAACTGGAAGCAGATCATCTACAAAGAAGGTCATAAAAATGAAAAGATTTTTTAGTTGTTGTCTGGTAGTTTTGTGGGTTTTTTTATTATTATTTCGCTTTAGATATTATGACATCATGAATACATAATGAGAACTCATTGTTGGAGAATCGCATGAGCAGATGCAATGCGTCGTGGCTGTCATTTCACACCACGGCCTGTACCACAAGAGTACAGAGAGACCCAAGGCGGTTAAGCGCATAGGCTCCGTGCAGTAGCGACAGACAGCGAGCAAACGCAAAAAGCCGTCCACACAACAGGCATGCCGCATGTTCAACAGGTGTCTCATTTCTGGTTTGACAGATGGAACACCTGAGATCTGCAGAGGGGAAAAAAGGGAAAATCTAAATCATTTGAGAATGCAGATATATCTGTCTTTCCATCAAAGTAGTGTATTTGATGTGATATTTTGGTCTGTAATAGTTGTCTTGTTTTTCAAAATAAATGAAAGAATGCAAAAAGAAGGTAAAATACACTGTAAATACTGACTGTTGAACAATTTAACTGGTCTGTTTTTTGAATCCAAATGAATTAAAAACAACCGGAATTTTTAAAGATCTTTGCACTTTTTCTGGACTGACCATCCATTGCTCTGATGGCCATTTTATGGCTTTGTTGTCACATTATTGTTGACTCACCCCCTGCTTTAACAACGAACGATCAATATGACATAAGAAATATCTTATCACAAAGCTGAAAAGTAACTGGGGGCACCCATGAACCCTACATCTTTCTCCAAAAACGCTTTTCATATACTTCGGAAATGCAGGCAAATGGGGCATTGATTTTAGATTCATCAGAGGGACCGGCCGGTTTGTGGCTCTACCGGTGATTTCCCAAGGCGCTCTTTTGTGCCAAAGATCAGTGTCAATAAAATTCATTGGGGTGCTGGCCCGATCAACATGTTATTGAACAGCCAATCTCTCCCCTAAACAAACACTTGTCTCTGAATGTCCGGCGCTTCTGCGCGCAGACGTAGACACATCTATTTTGTTATTATTATCATTATACTATAATTATTATTAATAATCGTATTAGTATTTATTTATTTTTTTGTTCAATTCATAGTAATTTTATTCTTAAGATGTAACAATTTTACTGCCTGTTTTGGGCCTAAACATATCTACTATATTTGACTCTATATCCTATCATATTCTAAAGTAAAATCAATAATGATACATTTTTTATAAAAATTATTATACGCATAAACTATTACACGTTTGCACAAATTGAGCTCTGTAAGGAATTTGTTATTTTTCCTTCGAGATCAAAACGTTCAAGTTTAGCAACAACTTTTGAAGGAGGAACATTTTATCTTATTTTATTATTTTAACTATTGCATGCAATTTAATTAAACGTTTCTGGTAGTTTTTCTTCTTATTTTCTTAATGGATGCTATCTAAAGCCTGTGTTCTTCTGTTTTCCCTTTTACTGGATCAAAAGCTCCTTCTCTGACGCAGTAATAAGTGTTCCTTAAATAAAACTAGCTCGACGCAATTGCCTTTATAAGTTAAACAGTAGTCTATAATTTTCATTGACGCGCGTTTATGCGTAAAACAATACAATAAGTCAAAAGAAAGGCAACTTCGTATGAGCGCTGAAACTCCAGGCCTTTTGGTTTCCTCTCCCTTCGCTTCTTACTTATTTCTCTTCCGGTTGAGGAGCTCTGCGGTTGATGTTGATCTATCAGCCTGTTGCCCAGGAAACGGCGCAGGCGGCGTAATCCCGCAAGGGCTCAAAGAGGCATTAAAAAAGCAAACTGCACTGCGCCCCATCGCCGCTCAGTTGTGATCACTACGGAGCTCTTTGCAACAAAAAGGAAATAAAAAAGAAAAAAAAAAAGTTTAGATTATGGAGTCATCCTAACTTATTACAGGCGTAAATTATGAACTATGGAAAAACATCGCGAGCGCAATTGTCCGAAAGATGCACCGAACACGAAGATGCCCCTTGCTCTGCTGTCGCACAGTGAAGAGTTACGAAAAGGTAGTACTATTTACTTAATAAAGGTTTGTGCGTAAAGCATGAAACCATCTTGGTGTGATGGGATCTTTTTTTTTTTTTTTTTTTTTTTTTTTTTTATGCTTACAATATCAAACTGGTGTGTTGGCTGCATCTTTCATGATGCACAGCTGCAGACTTGCAATGTAAGAACTTGTAATTTCCTGGAGGATCCGTTTTAAAGCTTATAGGACAAGGGCGCGCGCCATTTTCGCATGCTGGGACATAATATTTATAGGATCAACTTTTAACCTTTGGTCTCAATGAATGATTGTTCATTTGGGTGAATATTTTGTCAGTTTGAATCTTGAGACGGTTTTACGGATTTCTTTTAATTGTTTATCTATGCCTACTGTGGATCACAGCTTTAATCATGCAAGAAAGCGACACGTGCACAATTTAGTTTAGAAAGTGCAAAATGATATCACCAGACCCACAAAAAAATAAATTACAAAAATTTCTTAGTCTTAAGGTGGAGTTTGGTCTTAACCTTGAGACCACAGGCCTGCAGCTTTCTAGTTTTACTGAGCTGCATTAAATTATTGATCACCTGGATACACCTGTTCCTAAAGCGGCATGCTGCTGCGGATTCAATAAGAAATGGCTCCTCAATGTTTCATGAACTGTACTCCCGCAGAACAATAGCGACGCGATTCCTTGCAGGGGCTGCCCGGGGTGCTCAGAGTTCTCTCAATTAGTAATAAAGGAGCCGAATAACATATTGACGTTCATTTAAGAGGGCCTTTCTTATTTCTGTTGATCTGTTATAGGTTTACATCTTACGATACAGTGGTTATTTCGGCTCGATTTTGCAGTTTTACAAAATCCTTAGAAAACTCCCTCCTTAGATGTGTCCCTAAAGGTGATGATATTGAAAATTTTATTTGTTGAACTGTTGAAATGTTTTTTTTTTAAGCAAATGTCTTCTTTATTTAATCTATGTTTCAAAAATATGCTACATGCAAAAAATTCTTATAGACTGTGCAGGCTTAAACAAAATTGAAGGCTTTATAAAATATAACGCCTGGCAATAAAATTTGTTCATATCCAATGATCTTGTTGTTTAAATGTCTTCGCTTTTTTTAAAATCAAATGATATGAGACGCGATGACCCTTTGTATTAAATTCCTACACTGCAAAAACGATCTAGAAATAAGTCAAAATGTCTTAAATTAAGTGTATTTACCCTTGAGTTGAGTAGGTAAGTAAGATGATTTGCGAATGGAATTAGGAATTTTACCCTTAAAATATGATAATTAGTTAATATACACTAGAAATAAGACAATTTTTTTTTTCTAATTTTAAATGTAAATTGTCTTGTTCCATTAGCAAATTGTCTCACTTAACTGCTCAATTCAAGAAAAAACGCACTTATTTTAAGAAAAATTTACTTATCAAGACTTCGATTTTTTCCAGTGTATGAACGAAATAAGAGATCGCCGGACATGTAAATTGAATAAAAAAAAAAAGAAAAAGTAATTAATTTATGTGTTTTCTTCAATAAAAAACAGGCGAAAACTTAACCAAGCTTGGTCAGTAATCGAAAAAGCTTCATTCGTTGCACAATAATTAATTGTTAAGGTAGCTTCATTATTTATATATATATATATATATATATATATATATATATATATATATATATATATATATATATATATATATATATATATATATATATATATATATATATATATATATATATATATATATATATATATATATATTACTGTTTTATAATGTCATATATTACTTATATTATTACGTAATTGATTGAAAAAGATTCTCACTTTATCAGCAAAAAAAAAAACAGACAGCCAAATTGGCAATGAGACATTATATGGCCTATATAGGCTACACTTCAGCCATAAAGCCTGTCCTCTGTGGAAGAGTTTCATAGCTAAAGTCATTGTTTTGTTTGGCTTTAATAAGTGTGTTTTATTTTCTGCCGTTGTCATCTGACATCCTGTCATTCCCGTCTTGCCTCGCCTCCCACAGAGATCCCAATGTGCGCTGGTTGCAATCAGCACATCGTGGACCGCTTTATCCTAAAGGTGCTGGACCGCCACTGGCACAGCAAGTGCCTGAAGTGCAGCGACTGTCAGGCGCAGCTGGCGGACAAGTGCTTCAGCAGGGGCGACAACGTCTACTGCAAAGACGACTTCTTTAAGTAATATCCTCTTTTTCCAATTATTGTTGTTGTTGTTGTTGTTTGTGTCATGCATTAACTGGAATTGCTCCTGTCCAAAAGGAGGTTCGGCACTAAATGCGCGGCCTGCCAGCAGGGAATCCCGCCCACACAGGTGGTGAGGAGAGCGCAGGACTTTGTCTACCACCTCCACTGTTTTGCTTGCATCGTGTGCAAAAGGCAGCTGGCCACCGGTGACGAGTACTATCTGATGGAGGACAGCAGGCTGGTCTGCAAGGCCGACTATGAGACCGCAAAGCAGAGAGGTGAACCAGTCTTTTCCTCAAATGATGCGCAATTATGTGCCTGCTCAAAATGCTGAATGTTTGGTAAATTAGAAACCTTGGCGTTAATTGCACAATTTCCCGTCTACTAATCGATAGTAAGGAGAGGGTTTTTTTATGAGATCGGGGTTTGTGCCTTTGCGCTTTGCAGAATTAGCCTCTAATAAGACTGTAATTATGGTCCAAATTTTCTGGAAAATTGTGATGGTTTTGGTGGTCCCTTGATTAGCTGGGGTCCCCGGGGGAAAAGAAAAGACAAAATAAATAGGAATAATAATAATAAAAAAAACACATGGGTTGATCAATTCATCAATTTTGCCCAAAACTAAGCATTAACCTGCATTTAAAAGTAACGGATTTCAAGTTAATTTGATAATTTCTATCATTTGTGGTGAAATTACCTAAACATTTGCACTCCCACATTAGAAATTAACACAAAAAGCAATTGGAGTAAAGTGTATGTATAATTTAAATACTATAAATTTGAATAAATTGTGAATAAATTTTTTATTTATTTTTTTGTCAGAACGAATATTTTATTCCCATCAGCAGCCTGAATACGATTTTTGGTCAAGCAAAAGGCTTTGAAGAAATATTTTCTTATGAATCAAAACCAATATGATTGCTCACTTATAAAAGTAGTAGTACGTAAATTCAGGTTTAAAAGATAACACTAAGAACATTTATAAACATAAATGATAGTTTCCAGTGCTTATGGCCTAGGATATTTTAATGAAATTAGAAGGAAAGCTTAATGTTCAGTTTAGAAAGAAAATGTTATCAAATATATTTTATCACTACAGCTTCTAAAACCTTATTAGTTTTATAAACAGTGTCATAATTTATAGCTAATTGTAGAATTATTGCTTCATGTGTCTTAGCGAAAAAGAAAATACAGAATATTGTAATTAGGTGCAGGAATTACAGAGGTTGCTTGCAGTGAAATGTCATCACCTTAGGCCGGCTTATTCAACATGATAAGAAAATGAGCGGATTCACCATCGCTGGATCCTTGTGAGTTGCCTTGCTTAGCTCACATATTTGTGAATCCCAACAGGCTCATCCTAACTCAGGGCAGACTGGGCATGGTCAGGGTTTTATCTCTCCATCTGTTTATTGGTAATTTACCTTGATGATTTATGCTCTGGGTTTTATTTTATTTTTTCAAGAAAAAATATGCATTTTCATTTTAGAAATTACATAGTGTAATTAGTCAGGAAGCATCCATTTAGAATGATGACTTTTTCACCTTACTGAGGTGGTTCCAAACAGATGTCTAGACAAGAAACAAGATTGTGGATAATGAAAGATAAAAATTTATAAACAGGTCAAATGTAATCTTTTGATTCTCTGCTGCAATAGTAAATATGTGCTTTTATCAACACACAGCATGTGTTGCACACTTATAATGTTGTAGAGTTTGTCACATTGACTACAATAGATAATCAAGACCCCAACCTTATTAAAGACACACAAAAAATATGCATATTTAATTTTGTATCTCTGTTTATTTTCCTCTTTTTATTACCTTACATACAATGATTTCATAATGGACATAACATCATCAAAGAAAAGTGACTTTTATGGTTACTTGAAATAAATTGTCTTCCTCACAGAAGCAGACTCCACGGCGAAAAGGCCCCGGACCACCATTACGGCTAAACAACTGGAGACGCTGAAGAATGCCTACAACAATTCTCCAAAACCAGCCCGCCACGTCCGAGAGCAGCTGTCATCAGAGACTGGTCTAGATATGCGGGTTGTGCAGGTACAGTACATTATTCTCCATTAGGAGCTACTCCATTAGCGTCCTGACTTCATTATCCAGGGACGGTTGTGGCCGATCTTGAACAGGCGCACTGTAAGAAGTGTGTGTATAAAAGTTATGATGGGGAATTTTATGACCTGATGTAGTAAAATGAAGTGGGCATGAAAGTCGGTGTTGTTTAAGTGCAGTCTCGTTAACAATACTGAGAGGGCCCCTCACATATTGTCTGCTGCTGAGGAGCCTCGCAACCCTGCTGTAGGCGTTGGTCATATATATTGTTTTAATTGCAAGGACAAAACTGGAGGCAGAAGCCACTAAAATGCCCCTCATTATTCAGTAAAAGGGAAAGGGTGAAGAGGGTTCACACAGGGTGGAATATCATTAAGAAGAACGTTGAGTTGTACCCTTTGTGTGTCTAAATAGATCACTCCTAGTTGCAAAATTAAGGATACAATTAGGGGAAGTTTAAATTTGGACCTCACAGTGCAGAAAAAAAAAGAGTTCAGAAAAATGCTGAAACATTTTTATACATTTGAGGATTCAGGAGATTGATCTGTCTCTTAAAAATATGGCAAGTTTGAGAAGTTAGAAAACTGATTTAGGAGAAAAAAAGTTCCAGGTCAGAAATCCAAAGTCTTTGTTTTTATTCTCAATCATTGAAGTGATGACCAGACAAGCTCTTAATCTTTTGTAACTCATTTAAGGTATAGTGGAGGATTTTCGTGAATTTTTATAAAAGACCCGCCCTCTCTGCTTAAAAAAAAAAAAATGCACATGCATAACCCCTGTACCCGCTCCCGAGAGGGATCACCTATCAAACGTGTGTGAGAGCATGCAGGAGCCAATTTCTCCTTGTGCACGCTCTGTTTAAAAGTTGCTGTTCTCATAGCTCATACAAGCTTACTGTGCCCAAACTTCTGCCCTAACCCCTAAATCCATCAGTCACTATAGAGAATGGGGACTATAGTGGACTTTATAGCAAACTCAGTTAACTGACCGTTTGGACAGATGATCACTATTTTTGGCTCCCTGTTGGTCATATAACTCCTCCTCCATCCAGCATTCCCGGGATATATCTGCCACTCACTTTCTTTTCTTCTTATACACTTCATAGACACTTTTTCTATTACTTTGCCATTTTCAATTCTTCCATGAATGACTGAACCGTAGCTCACAAAAGATATATATGCCTGAAAGTGCTCATGCGCAGAAAAAATACAGCTAACTGTGGAGGAGCACGTAGGATGGCCTTACGTAAACATATTACCAGGAGGATTGACAATTAGGAGGGCCACTTATTTTGATGATCTACCCAGAAAAAGAACATCCTCCACTATACCTTTAATCTGTGAAAACCTAATTAAATCCAATTTAGTTTATTTGTATAACACCAATTTATAACACATATCATCTCAATGCATATTCTGAGAAAAATGTATCAGATCATAAAGTCAGACTGGTAAAAAGTTTTATATCTAAGGAAAAGCAGATAATTTCATTGAATTGCAGGACATGCTCCACCCAATAAATCAAACAAAGAGGACATACAGTCAGATTATGTACATGAGAAGCATGCAGATCAAAAGGTTTTAAGATTGCAAAATGAATGAGAATAAAGCTGACATATTTTAATTCATTGTATTATTTTCATTTAATTACACTCTATAGTTATTTTCTGTAACATTTCCAAAACCCCCAGATGATTTTTCTCAGATGAACATTGAAAGCCTTTGCATTGACATTTTGTTTATTTCACCCACCAGGTTTGGTTTCAGAACAGACGAGCGAAAGAAAAACGGCTGAAGAAGGATGCTGGGAGGCAAAGGTGGGGTCAGTATTTCCGCAACATGAAGAGGTCACGAGGAAGCTCCAAGTCTGACAAAGACAGCATCCAGGAGGAGGGCATGGACAGCGATGCAGAGGTGTCCTTCACAGGTAAGTTCACTCTTCACATAAGAAGAAGATGCAGATTCACTGGCATGTTATGAAGATAAAAGGAAGAGATTTAATTAATACATATTTCCATTACATCTAAGTTCCCTAGTTCTGAAAGTAAGGCAGCATATTAATACATACTTTGAGAGATCACATAAAACAAGAACCAGGTGTTAAACATTATTTTTCTCATGTATAAATTAACATAGTTTATAGTCTTTTATATCAACATTAAGTTAACCACCTAAAATAATTATTTGACTTAGAAAAACTTTAAACTTTTTACATTTTTAAACAAGCTGAAAGGTATACAAATGCCTATCTGCAATTTATACATAACATGTATGATAATTTGGACAGTAATGACTAACCAGGCAGTAACTGCTTTAAATGTACACTTATTAATTTGTGTTTAGACATATTTTTGCTAGTCACTGATGACAGTATAACTGGAATTAGGTCTTGGCAAATAATTGTAAAATTAATTTACAGAAAAATGTAACAAATTTTGCCGCACCGGCCAAATATTTTCCTACTCTGTTTGGAAAATTAAAACAACAAGCTTTAAACCAAAGATTACATATTGGCTTGCATAAAGTTTGCAAAATTAGCAACTATATTTCTTTAAATCACACTTATTTTGATGTATTTAATTTAGCCTGTGATTAAAATATAGTTCCTTTTTCCATTATTTTTGCCAGATGAGCCTCCCATGTCAGAGCTTGGCCACACAAACAGCCTTTACAGTAGCCTGAGCGAGTCCTCGCCCGTTGTCGGGGGATGCCCAGCTGGCAACAACCACAGCTCCTTCCCTCTAGACCATGCAGCGCTTCCCTCCCAGGACCAGTTTCACGACATTCGTTCCAGCAGCCCCTATGGTCTCCCTCAGTCACCAGGATCCCTGCATGCCCTGCCGAGACACCAGCCTCTGATCACTAGCCTCGTTTATCCCGACTCAGGCATTTCCATCATGACCCAGAGCGGCGGAACCGGCATCAACCCCTCTGTGAGAGTTTCCATGGGGGCAGCTAACGGCCCCAGCTCGGACCTCTCCACTGGCAGCAGTGGCGGCTACCCGGATTTTCCTGCGAGTCCAGCATCTTGGTTAGATGAGGTGGATCATGGGCAGTTTTGATTTTGTAAGAGAGAAACTTGACTCTTTTGTTTTTATTGAGTTTTTTTTTGTGTTCTGTTGGACTGAAGAAATGCAGGAGAAATACAAAGGGCAGTGTTTGTGTGTTGTAGCAAAACACTAACTTTTTTTTAAGCATAAATAATATAAAAAGAAAAAAAAAAGCTGCCCCTCATTTAAACCACTGGATCTTATTTACTCACAGTCTGTTTGCAAATCACCAGATGTCATTCTGAGCTCTTTCTAAGCAAAATAGATAAGGGTAGTCAAAGTTTAAATGATAATAATTTGTATCTTTCTTTTCTCCAAATCTCCAATTTCTCTTATTTAACTTCAGCATGATCAGGGAAAAGTTTAGTTCAGTGTGCAGCATCTTTAAAGGTCTGGTTATTGCCAAATGTCTGTATATAAATAGATAAATAAACATATATATATATGGTTTATCAATGTGGAGACTTTATTTTTATACAAATCAGTTCTTGGACTTGGAAAACAAAAGCCAGGCATGAGGACTTTGTACATTCCTGAGGAGCAGTCTAGACTAAAATGTAGATGTCGTCTTAAAACGGTACCTTGAGGTCCTATAACTTCTATGCATTCGTGTGCTCTCAGATGTGTCTTGTTTTTTTTGTCATACTTAAAACCCCCTTAAGAGATGAACTGTAGGAAACTGGGATCGGGCTTTTGAGGGTGGTGATGTTAATGTTTTTTGTGTGGAAGATGTTTTGTGTATTATTTATTCCCTATGGTAATGCTGATGATTCATAAATAAACAGCAGGACTTTAATAAATTTCTCACATTACTGAGAACGCAGAGTTAATTTCTTTTTCTTTTATTTGGGTCTGTAAACCTGCACATCTTAAAAGAAGGGGATTTCCTTTTTATCTTTAAGAATATGCAGTTTAACACCACTCTAATAGTGAAACCAGAGAAAGCCTGCAATTGTGCCTATGTCTGCAAATTGAGTATCTGGCTACCCACCAGCACAGTATCAGGGGTTCAACAGCTCTTTAGTGGAGAAATTTGATGCAGTCAACTCATCAAATCAGAGATTACTGAGTCCTGTTTGCCCAAATGCCCTGATGGGAAAGGAATCTCCAATCCATTATCCAAGAAGGGATCGAGTGCCCCTTGTGAATTACCTCATTTGTTTAGTTATTCAAAGTCGGGTTCAATTAAATAGATTAAACAGTAAATGTCTGCGTCACTGTGTTTAGGTGAGTGGCCGCTGCCAGTGTGTGCACTTGCATGTTTATCTAATTCCTTTTAGTATAGTCAGTACTCAGTCTGAATTGATGATTTTATAAGTTTATGGATTTTGTACATAATCTTGAGCCGATTTTCACATGGAGTTAAATTGCTCAATATAAAGTAGAAACTTTAATGTCTTTTAAATATGATTCATAAAATTGAATTTTTCAAAATGAACACGATCCTATTTAAAATTAAATCAAACATTAATTTTAGGAAAATAAATCTGGAATCAATGCAAAAACGCTTAGACAACATTAATATAATATAAAGAAAAGAGAAACATTATTAAATATCAACACTTTTGTTTTTTCTGTTTAAGTTTTGCAGTATTTTCCTAAGTTATCAAAGCTTTGCAGAACTATATCCTTTAGGCCTTTGATCAAATACACATTTCTCACACACCATTCAGGCAAACTATGTTATGCAAACATTGTGAATGAACCAGGTCAGTACTCACAGGTTGAAAATTTCTTTTTTTTTTTTTACTTGAATGCACCACTTACTCTTTCTGAGACTGTAATAAATAACTTCATCCCATACATTGACTCTCAGATATTCAGCAAAGAAAAATAGTGGGAAAAGATAGTGGGATTTTACAAAGTGTCTTTGTGTACATGAGATAAATTGTGGCAAAATCTAGAAAGTAATCAAAGCATTGCACATTTAGACGTTTTTCCTTATTTACTGTAAATGTAGCTTTTTAATGTTTGCAGGCATCATTTTAGCACTGTCGCATTTAGTAAAATGGTCAGCCAAATAAGGCTTGAAATTTTGTTGAATAAAAAAATCCTGAAACACAGCAGGTGTGAGATTTTGCATTAAGGACAAAGTCACTCAAACAAAAGCAGAGAAGGATTATCTTGTCCCAATCTTTTAGATTGAATTTAAAATCCAGCATTTTCTGAGAAAAGAATTAGATTAAGTTAGGTATGCAATTTGTTGGATGGGTTTCACATGGTTAGTTAACTTTCACAATCCTACTTACTGAGTAGGTGGTGGGAAGCTGGTGTGAGAAAACATGTTAGAACTGAAGGGGGATGTAAATTAAAACAATTTTAATCAGAATGAACAATAAAAAAAAATGGTCCAATGTGTTCTTGAAATTTAACTTAATGAAAACCAAATGTTTAAATTATATAAAAAAAAGTGATTTCCTTGAAAGTGTATGTAGTGTAAAATATTTCAAACAAAAACTGTACCATAGGCAGATTAACATTACCAGTTTGTTTTCTAAGTCAAACAAATAAATGTTGCTTCATTCTGGAAAAGTTTAAACTCAAAACAATCATGAACTGGCATGTTGACTAAAAAGTTAGAGCGACTTCCTCTGCAGCATTTCTAAATGTGTTATAGTTATGAGATAATTTGAATTTAAAATAATAATATCCATCTATTTCTATTAACAGATGTTTTTTTCTAATTTATCTTTTACCAATTGTCCTTAGTAGTAAATTGTGGATAATGGCCTGCAATAAAGAAAGATTTCTAAACCTAAATACTGACATAAGTAATGTTTACTCAAATACAAATAGTATCCATGGAGGTAATGGCTCTATCCCAATGCATGTACACATTGCCTCTTGACTTTCCCATTTCCTTTTTCTTCAAAGAAATTGCAGAACCTAAAACATTAGAAATAAATACTCACTTAAACACACCACCTCATTTATGATGTCCCAGAAAAACCCAGGATGTTATCAGTATTACACAATAATATGTTGTATTTGAGCATTTTGCACCAAGAGAGTCCAAAAATGAAAGATCTTGTCGTTTTCTGGTAGAATCAAACAACATAAACTGTCTTGTTTTGTTAAATACTGACTTGTCGTTTAGCGTTTGATGTTACTCTTTAAATATCAAAATATTTTGTGAAAAGAACGTCTAAGTTAAAATCACATTTTACACTTGGAAGTGATATTGAAAGATGTATTAAAATGAAAATTGAACAGAAGCGGACTGAAAAAAGGTTTTTCATATTTTAATATTCAAAGATCCGAGGATATTTTTCTCATAGCAGGCATTTAAATTAAAATCCTGCTGAATGCTGAGGCAGCTGAGGTTGCCACGTGCTTAGCAGCTACTGGTAAACTGTTGCTTTTAACTCTCCTCTGTAAAGGCCTCCAAGACTGGCAGGATGCCTGCTGTCTCTTAAATGGAGGGCTGAAAACACACACATACACAAATGTACACACTCCCCAGCGTCATGTCAGCTGGTGCTGAGTAAATCAGCTCTGACAATAACACCTCCCAAGGGTCCGACATATCACAGCTACAATTCAGACCTAATGGAGCAGCAAAGGGGGCTGGGGAGGGGACTGCTTAGCTTGTGTGTTTTGGGGCATTTCAGTTTGTGCAAATGTATGCATGGTGGAGAGGTGGAGTTGTTTTCATATCTTTTTTTTGGTTCCTGATGAGAGGAGGGAGACTGTTGTGGTTAATCTGTGGTGAAGACATAAATCAGTTAGGGGCATTAAGGGGTTCTGTTAACTGAATAATATAAGTAAGAAATCTGAGAGGGAATGGTAATATGAAAGTTGGAGATTTGTTCAACTGTAAACTTTTTACAGAGAAGCCCCAAAAGCTACTTTAAATGCATGTGTGTTATAGGAGAGTTTGAAAACGATGGCTATGAGCAAAGACAGAGTGCAAGCACAGCACTGACCAACACAGGAGTTTTGTTTATGTTGCAGATTAATGGCACCTGCAGCCGCATTAGAGCAATCTAACTAATCAACAAGGTCATTAGCGTGTGTTTTCACTGACAACTTTAATCAAATCTATCACAGCTCCACCTTCATATTACTTCACACAAGCCCCATAATTATTTCTTCATTTCGTTCTGAGACAGGAATGCAATACTCAGTAATCTGTCTGCAATGGCTCACTTAAATGCATTCAGGAGCATTCCTATTAGAAATGTATTAGCTAATGTATCGGTCAGCTCCTCCTCATACTGCAGGAAAGCATCATTTTTAATGGAAACATTGAAGGATTTGATATTCCACGGTCCTATGGTCATTAACCCTGGAGACTCTGATTTCCAGACTGCATGTCTGTTAAGGTAGCAGCGGCTTAACATAACTTTAAGTTTATTGTGTGAGCTTTGCAGTTTGATAAAAATATTTATTCTTATCAAATTCTGATGAACAGCAAGGTCTGATTATGACAATGACACTTCAGCTTTTCCCATTTTGTAGTGTCTCATCTGTAAAGTAGGGAAAAAAAGAAGAGCAGGCAAAAATGACCATTAATTAACTTTAATGCAGAATTAATTAGTTTTCAGTGGACCAGCTGTGAGGCTCCAACTAAACACTAATTGGTTTATCAGTAACATGCATCTCAATCCACACGTATGTTAGATTGTTGAATATTGTTGTCTAAGTTTAAAATTTAATTCTCATGTAGCCTAGTCCAAAGCACAAAGCGTGTTTTTCCAGGATTCTTGGACTTTGTATCGTCATAATGATTGTTAATCTTTTGGAAAACGAGAATTCTTTTAAAGTGAATGGACTCTCTTTACCAAGAGCTTAATTAAAGCTGCAAATTAAACAGTTTTAGATTTATTAAGTCTCCGGTAAGTAAATCATAAATTGCCTCTACTTCCAGGATATCACAGTTATAGGTTTAAAGGTTTTTCTTTCACCTTTGAGTGTAAAGATTAAGTTCATGATCAGTTTTATAATTTTAAATCAAACAGCCTTATTAGTGGAAACAAAGGAAATGCTGGACCTTTCAAGGTTGGGAATTTATTTTTTAAATCAACACAAAATATGGTGAGATGTTCCAAATATTATGATCGTTTTTATAGAAATGATCTATACAGCATAACAGATACTATTTCAGTAAGTTATTTTTTATTTACGTAAGTCTGTTTGGGGGAAAATGTGCCAGTATGACATTTGGGGCAGCTTTGATTCAAATGTGTTTTTTCTGTATTAATTCCTGGAAAGAAAAAATAACGAGATGCATATCATATATCACTATGCAGATGGACTATATGGAAACATTGTTTTTGGTCTATCTCAAATTGTAATACCTAACTTTCATTTTTAAACACAAATATCAGCTCATGGCACCCCCTTTGCTCTTGGTCAGCTTTGCCTTCAGCAGACAGGTGCCACATAAGAAAGATAATGGATTACATAAATCCATGATCATAAATGTGGACTGTAGATAAATGTGGTATCGGCTTGCTTAAATGGAAAAATATATTATATAAAAAAAAAGACATTTACAGTCTGACAGGTCTGATTAAAATAAAATTTCAAAAATCAAGTATTGTAAGCTTTGTATTGCTTTATTACAGCTTAACAAACTATTAAAGAAAAAAAATCAGGAGACGACTGTCAAGTTTGCATATGCTTAGGCCTGCTATTTGCAATTGTAAAGTACATTTAATCTCATATTTGTTTTTGATTTGACGGTTAGAATCTCAAAGGTCTTCAGTGATCACATATAAAAAAAGTTTGCACTTTCAATATCTAATTGAATTTAAAAATCATTTCGCTGGTTTTTCTGTTTTTTTCCTACTCACCACTGGGATTCATA